AACCTAAAGCTTCACAGAGTGTGCGGAAAATGAGGGGTGGTAGATACTGTAAAAGATTAATAAGCAGAAACCTCAGTTAAATGGAGTTCAGAGACCAGAAGGGGGAGCTCTCACACCCTGGGACAAGAGCAGAGCCCAAGAGGAAGAAGAAAGATTCCTTTCCCGGCGAGGACATGATCAATGACAATCCGTGGACTCTGTTTACCATAGCCCCCCAACTTCCTTCTCCTATCTATAAAATTGTTTTTCTTTTGCCACGTGGGGACTTGCACGCAGCTTGTCGTGGTTACAGATCCCCAATTTGCCGTTCTCTGCTAATCTCAAGTAAACCCATCTTAGCTGAAGAAATATCTGACAGTCTATTTCTTTGACGTTAAAACTATTAAATCAAAAGACACTTATGAAGCACACACAATATACAAGAGACTGTGGTCAGTTTTGCAAAAGACATGTAGTGGGTAAAGCTGAAATATGGACTTCATCACGCATACTTTCTTCTGCAATAGAGCTAGTCTTACCTTCTGTTCCTATAGTAAAGACAGCCTGGTGGTTTCAAAGTCTATGATTATTTAAATTCATTTCAACTAACTCTGAATACCAACTAATATATTAGATCTGGGCGTTATTCCAAGGCTTCTAAAGAATAAATTTCAGTATAAGCTTTGTATTTCCATTTTCTTAAGATTGCTTTTTAAACTTTTAGAGAAGTAATTAAATTACATTACATATAGTATAAGCCAAAGAAAGACAAAAATGCCAAAATTACCAAAGAATACGTCAAGAAATAGATATAGGAAATGAGGAAATGTCTCTGTGGAAATGTTTTTTATCACACTTGGCTGTGATGGGCATGAAACAGCATGATGACCCTGCTTTGATGCTTCCTGTATTGTGGAAGCAAAATTTAGGAAGTTGAGAAATTAGTTATAAACCACAGCACACACATCAAGTACAGTGATATGTTACATATTTCAGCTAGGAAAGTTACAATCTTCATAAAAATCTTGATGATCGGAGAATATCTTCTGTAACCTTTCAGAATTTAAAAATCTGTTGATACATTCTTTATGGCTCATATATGCTCCCTTTTAGAAAATGTTATCTGTGTGTTGGAAATACAAATGTGATTTATGCAATTGTTAGGTGAAGCATGCCTATGTGTTTTCTTCAGGCCAAATTGGTTGGTCATGTTGTTTAACTCTTCTATACTGTTACTGATTCTTTACTGCTTTGTCCATTAAGTATTGACAGAGGTTTGTTAGAATTTTTAACTATGACTGTGGTTTCGTCTATTGCTTTTTAGTGTTTCTCTATTTTGCTTTATATATTTTGATAATATGATATTAAGTTCATAAAATTTTAGAATTATTTTTGTCCCTTGTAAAATTGCCACCTTTTTATTTTATATTTTTGGCCATGCCACAAGGCATGTGGGATCTTACTTCCCCAACCAGGGATCAAACCTGCGTCCCCTGCTTTGGAAGCACACAGTCTTAACCACTGGACCACCAGAGAAGTCCCACCATCTTTTTATTTTAAGTCAGCCTTCTTTGTCTCTGACTACCTCTTTCCTTAAGTCTTAACATATTAATTTGGGCTTAAGTATTCATTCATTAAGTATGTATTCATGCCAAGTTTCTTTCAGTTGGTTTTTACATGATATAATACTTTCAACTATTTTCATTTCAAGCAATCTGGGCCTTGATATTCAAAGTGTTCCTCTTTTAAGCAACATAGATTTTTTTGTCGTACACAGCCTGGTAATTTGTGACTTTTAATTGGAGTGTTTATTCCATTTAAATTTACTATAATTCTTAATATAGTTGGATTTAAGTCTACTATCTTGCTATTCTAGTTGTCCTATCTTTTTAAAAATAAACTTTCAATTTGGAATAATTTTAGATTTACAAAATATTTGTATAGATAGTACAAGGAGTTCCTGTGGACCTTTTGCCCAGTATTTCCTAATGTTGATATCTTATATGATTATAGTACATTTGTCAAAACTAAGAAATTAACATTGGTACATTACTGTTGACTAAACTCCAGTCTTCCTTCAAATCTCATCAATTTCCATTAGTGTCTTTTTTCTATTCCTGGATCCAGTCCAGCACACCACATTGCATTTAGTCCTCATGTCACTTTTTTCTCCTCTGACCTGTGGCAGATTCTCAGTCTTGTCTTGTCTTTCATGACTTTGACAGTTTTGAAGAATACTCATTAGTTATTTTGTAGAATGTTCCTCAATTTGGATTTTTAGGATGACTTTTTTCACGATTATACTGGGGTTGTGGGTCTGGTGTGAGAATATCATGGAGATGAAGTGCCCTTCTCATCAAATCATATGGGGGGAGGGGTAACATGATATTCACATGACGTAAGCAGTCATAATAACCTTGAGCTCTTGGTTAAGGTGTATCTGCCAGATTCTCCACTGAAAGGATATTGTTTTTCCTTTTTCCTTATCTCTTTTTTGGAGGTAAGTCACAAAGTCCAGCCCAAACTCAAGTGGGGAGGGGAATTAAACCCCACCTTCAAGACGCTTTACTTATATTATTAGGCATTCTTCTGAAAGGAAGCCATCTCTCCTTGTGCCATCTGTTGTTTTGTTCCTTTATTCCTTAATTTTTGTCTACTTTTATATTATTCAGGTATTTTCTTTTATCCCATTTTATCCCCTTTTCAGATTTTTAATCCAAAATTTTGCATTTCCTTTTTAATGGTTGCCCTAAAAAATTACTATATGCTTGCCACAGTATAATTTTCCTTAATACTTTCTCTAACAATTGAAGAGATGTATCATATTCTAAATCCATTTATCTCCCTACCTATCATTTGTTTTTTTTTTTTTTTTTTTTTTTTTTTTTTCTTTTTTTATGCGGGCCTCTCACTGTTGTGGCCTCTCCCATTTGCGGAGCACAGGCTCCGGACGCGCAGGCTCAGCGGCCATGGCTCACGGGCCCAGCCGCTCCGCGGCATGTGGGATCTT